TGTTTTATTTAGTTACTTATTTACTTGTTTACCTTCCGCTCAACTCAGCTCAGCACCCTCTGGTGGACAAACTATGCAACATCAACACTCAAAAAACGATTGAAGTGCCTCTTCTTTACTTACATTTATATTAATTGTCTATTACAAATGCAGAAACAATCGTTTTGCAAATGAGCTGACAACATTGGTCTGATCGCTTATGCTCTAGTGAGTACGGTGTAATCAAAACTGCCAAAAGAGATGATAATCATTAATACCACACAATTAACCCTTACCTTAACCACTGACAGGGTTAGGGTTAGTCGTGTGTTTATTTAAAAAAATGAAGCGTTATAAAATATAAAGTACCAGGATGGACCAAATACTTAAGAGCTTTTGCTTATAAAGTAGTTATAAGTTATAGTAGTAGACCTCATGAATGCAAAGGGGTTGAATTGTCACTTTTGCCAAATTTGCCAGAATAGAGCTCTGTCAGGTAAATGCTTAGATGCTTCTCTGTCTCCTCCTCTCCACAGTCTATTGTAAAGAACGGCAAACAGGCAATGGTTCTGTTTTCCCTGTCAGTCACCGGCATGAATCAGGGCGTGGTCATTTCCAACCGCCACGGTCGAGCCCAGCGTTCCAGCAGCGAAATTCCCGGGGAGGGTGGAACGGAGGAGACGGAGCCGAGGCGGAGAAGATCCAGGCAACCGGAGGAGCGCGAGGAAGAGAAGAAGAAGTGCTGTTCCAAGTGCGTCTGCAAGCCCATTGATGCAGATACCATCGACATCTATGCCAGGGCCGTGTTTCCTTTCACTTTCGCCGTGGTGAATGTGATCTACTGGGTGGCGTACACCATGTGAAGAGGAGGCAGCGGGTCTGAGCGAATGGCTGCCATCCAGAGCTGTATATAAGAAACTGCTGGAGCTGTGCCACTTTAATGCTGGCAGACTGGTGCAGCAGAAATATACTGCAGCCTTCAGTAAAGGCGAGAACTTGTCAGACAAAAGACAAAATAAAGTATAATGGCCTGTGAATATGGAAATATGGTAATTACTGGAAGTACGTAGAAGTTTAAGAAGTTTTAAGAGGATTAAAATATATTTAAACACAAACAATGTCCTGCAAAGGCGAAGGACTATGTTGCCTGTGGAAGACATACAGCACACATTTAATACAGTTTAACTAACAACAAACACTTCCACATCGACCTGTTATATAAGCCGACTTAACACGAGACACCAGACCTCACGTCCACCAAAACAGCCGCACTGACCACAAGCTCTCCTCTAAACAAATACAAATAAGCATACTTAGCCTGTCTTACTCCACAATCAGTGAACCACTTGTTATCTCACAAAGCAAAAACACCACCCAGACTAGAGGATAACGAGATGAGGTGTACTGCTATTCTGCATGGCTGAGAACTCATTACCCCCTCTCCCGTCCCGCCACTGCTATCCCCTCTCTCTCTCCCTCTCCTTTGGTCCCCCACCCATTTTTTTCTGTTTATTTTCACGTTTAGGACACCGACTGGAGGGTCTTATCTCCCTCTGCCAGTTCTGCCTGTTTCCTTGCCATTAAAGGACTTCCTCCACTACCTGTGTGTGTGTGTTTGTGTTTCTCTCTCCAAGCGCCAAATGATCTCTTGAAAGCTAAATCCATGTTGGTTAGGTATATTCAAAAGAAGACGAAGCTGCTTGAAATCCCATCTGGCAGGTCCGAACATGCAAAATTTTAAGGGGTTATGAATAATTAACTTATCAATTATACTTTGCTCTATTAATAATTTCCTACTCGTGCCTGTCCTTTGTCTGAACTGGGAAATTGATTTCAGGAGACTCGTGGATTAGAAGGCACCACAGCTCTTCAGTTTTCTTATTCAGTCACTACATTAATACAGTGTATTATGTGACCTCCAGTTTGAGCATTTCAGCTTCTTGAATCAGAATGAAACTGCTTCTTTGATTAAATTATCAGTTTGCTTTGCTTCTTTGATGAAAGGTTCAAGGTGGACACATCAGCCAGTAACTCTGAATGTTGTAATCAGTTGTAACAAAGTGTGGTGTCCACAGATAGTACAGACCATGTGGATTTACAATACTGTGCAAAAGTCTCAAGCCACACTTCATTTCTTTATATTTTCCTTCTCAGGAGCCAGACTTTCCAGTATTTTTTTTTAAATTAACAGCAACAGTTCTTCAGTTTTCTGAAGGTCTTTCAAAGTTTTTCTTTGGATATTGGCTGCTTTTTCAATCACCTGTACCTGACCATGTCAGAGGAAAGTTTTTTGATTTCTTAAGCCACTTAACACTAACCTAGGAATCATTCAAGCACAAAAATGGCACCTGACTCAAGGGATGAACCAATGTTGTGTATACAGATAAGAGACAACCAAGCAAAATAGCAGTTTTAAATTGTATCTTTTGGGACTTTATTACTAGCAGCCTGTGGCAAAAACAAAAAATACCAACAGTAACACAGTTTGACAGACACAAAACCAACAAAGCGATTCCCAGAGAGCTAATAGCTGAGATCGTAGCAGAAGGAATTCAGCATGTGGGGCTGTATTTCAGCCGGTGGTGTTGGCAATCAAAACTGATGGAAATATGACCACAGAAAAGTACAGTCAGTCATCTGCCATGCCATTTAGAAAGCTTCTGATTGACAACAACTTCATTTTTCAGCAGGACAATGATCCCTAACACACTGCCTGCCAGTCATGGATCGGCCTCCCCACAGCAGGACATCAACATTATTGAAGCATTGACTAAGAACAGACCAAAAGGCAGCCAACATACAAAGAAGAGCTTTGAATGTCCTTCAAGAAGCCTGGAGAACTATTCCCAAAGATACTTTAAGAAATGACAAGAGTTCAGACTAAGTTGGAGAATAAAGGCTCATTAGGATTGTACAAACTCTATTTTTGCCATATATACTGTATTTCCATGTATGTTTGTACATGTTTCAATAACACTGCACCTATTTCCCATTTTCCTTGCAGAGGAAATGAGGGTTGGCTCAACACTGTTGCACATTGCTGTAGCTTCCTAGTCTGAAGAGTGGTGTAAACACCAACCCGATATCACTGCAAAGTGTGTGATAGACACGATGGTCCACAACATCCATTTCACGTGTTGCCTTTCTAAAGTGTGAAAACGACACTCACATGCAGTAAGTGGCAGTACAAATATTTTATTTCAAGCCAACATGAAAATAATCACAGGAAAGCATTTAAACAGACATTATTAACACATTTACACGTAAAGCCACCAGCTTAATCGCTTCTGATGATTAAGGACTTTGAACGTACTTCCCCCCTGCTGGTAATGCAACGTCTGCATGTGTGCCTTTGACGTTTTGGAGAGGCAAAGCGGGAAATTGACACGATGGACTGGCGTGTCTGTTACACGTCTTGCGTGATTCTGGGCTATATTTATATGTTTCTGCAAAATTTTGATTGGCATGTGTTAAATGTTAGCCCTGCAACAGACCGGCAACCTGTCCAGGGTGTGGCCCTATGGCAGCTAGGATAGGCTCCAGCCTAGGGAAGAGAATTAAGTCGTGCCCATCATTGTGCTCATCTGACTTTCTTCTCCATGACGACCTCAGTTGAGGCTCTCGGATATAACTGATAAAAATAAATAAATAAAGATAAAAATAAATGCTTGAAATAAATAAATAAATGAAAATAAAACATTTGAGCAGCCACCTCCTCTTTTCAACTCCACTGTATACTCCATCAGTCTGCTTACCACCAGCACTATAGATGTTCATACAATGCAATAAGCAAAGCCTCAGGAGAAGTGTGAATATCACTCATCTCGTCTCAGTTTTGGAACAAGAGCACGCGGTCTAGTTGTGTTTTTGTGTGTAGTAATCAGTAGGGACACACCTCGTAGCATCAGTAGTCTTTTTACATTAATAAATATCAAATAACATGATTAAATTCACTCCAATGACTCAATCAATCTGTCTTTTTTTCTTTTCAGCTCATTATTTTGGTCATACAGTCACTAACTTTGCATTTTTCATTTTTTCCACCCGAGATGCCGCAGGAAAATAAGTTCAGTCAAAAGTGATAAAGGCACCTACTCAGACCACCCAACCGATAAAGCTGATGAGCTGCTGCTGAATGCAGCGGCAGCAGCTTCAGAGGCAAATATTTTGGATAGAGATGGTAGAGCTTGAACAGAGAACAAATGTGAGATTTAATGATGATGATGAAACTCCAAGTGGTGCTAATGTTAAAACAATAGCTTCCTCAGTCCCCAAATAGTCAAACAAAACCAACCAAATGCTGCAGGTTTAAAAATGCCTCATTGGCAGGGAAGAGCAATCTCCTCTCTGTTATGATTGTCAGTCATCTGTCTTCGCTTCGCTTCACTGGTTTAGTAGATTGACGTTCCTGGACAGCTTCCACCCACGCAGCATCCTCATTCTGATGCAACCGCAGTAACATACCCACACACTCCTGCAGTTGCTTGTTCAGAGGCCCATCAGCATCTCCTTTTCCTCTTGTTGCTCCATGTTTTTGTGTGCACAGAGGCCACGGAGTGGGGCAGTTATCAGGACCAGCGCTGTAGTTACAGAGCAGGCATGGGTGGGAGCAGGGCAGGGCTGCGTGCACTCCGAACAGGGAGTGCGACAGGCTGGCTTCTCCCAAGGAGATAACTTTGTTCTGGGCCAGGAGAGATGACATCATGACGGATGGCAATGAAGATGTGGGCGCAAGGAGCAGGAAGCTTTATCTCACATGATGGCACCGAGAGGATGGAGACACACACATGCACACAAACACTTGCGGATCACACTGCTCCTCGCTGATACTCCAGTGGACTCGAACAGTAGTCACTCCCCACTGAACACACATACGTACGTGCGGGAATACACACCTCTGACATGTTCACTCTTCCGCAGGGTCTAGGAGGTGGCTGTCAGTTAAAAGGCATAAATCAGACACAGAGGGCAGGTCACTGTGGGTGACTGTTGGGCTACTGTCACTTTCCACTGCACAGCATCTAAAACTTTTGGAAAATACACTGAAGAGACTGATCTCAAGAAGGACTCCCGGCTTATCCTGTAGGTTTGTACTGCATGCAGCTGCACAATACATAGTGCATGAATTCTTTTTCAAACTCTAAAACACTAACACACACGGCTCGG